AAATCTATCCTAGGACTTAAGGATCTCAGTCCTGGCTCCATCACAGTGACCTGTGAAACCTTGAAATCGAGCTAGAATCAGGGTCTCTTGGGGCTTCCGACTCTGCGGTTAGGTACTGAAACCAGGTGAAAACAGGGCTCATCTCATACTGACCATGTGCTTCCTTGGCTGTTTCAGTCAACACGTTCAGTGAAAGGGGGGGTGGAATGTAATGAATCCCTGGCAGAAAACTTGGTGGGATGAACTGAGGCAGAGGAGTGTAGTATCCTTGATGGAAATCTCCACCTCCATCTGGAATCTGCAGAAATACATGAAGCAAAGCATCTTCCATCTAAAGACTCTCTCCAGGATATGTCTGCAGTATCAAACAATTTCTGTTTCAATTTTTACCTGTGAATTTTACATTTTTTGTCCATTTTGTAGTCGTATGCTACCACATCTGTGCACGTATTAGCATGTGCAAAGCCTGTGCATAGTGTAACTTGCTGAAACTGAGAAGTAGCAGCTTCTCAGGCCATGTTTCAGCTGAAACTGACCTTCTGAGTCCTCGTCACCTGTTCTGGCATCTCATTTAGAGCAGCTGGTTTACACCAGAGGTAGCTCACCTTCACCACTGGCCCAGTGCACTTGCCACTGAACAAGTCTGAAGTCTTCACACAATAGGAGAGGCAACCTCAGAAAATGCTGCTTGCCACCACCTCCCTGCTAGTTATGGATTCTCGTCTGAGCCCAGTGAAGTGAGTGGCTCGGCCTACACTGAGGGGCTGGTGTGCACCACAGGGTGCCCCACAGCCCTGGTCTTTTGTGGTCACCAGACCTGTAAAGAGCATGATAAAACTCATTCCATGTGCAAGGGGGTATTTCCATCCCTCAGAAACACTAGCATCAGAGAAACAGGAGCATTTTTCTCTTAGTTCTGGCCATGCGCCCTGGTATAGATTGAACTTGTATGAGATCTTTCCATCTGTTTCAGGACAGTTAAAAATTAGGTTCAAAGCCACATACAGTGACGGTCTATACAAGACATTTCCCAACCTGTGTATATCCAGCCAACCAGCATAATTTGTCTGGACCTCAGACTGCTGCTAGCCACACTTTTTCTCAATAACCCCTAAAATGTGACAGGGAATTTCCATGCAAGCATAATAAATCTACTATTCTTGAGGTGCATCACTCTACCTGAACGTGAACTGATGAATTGTCCTCAATGCAGACAGAATGGCGCATGGCAGCTGGAAATCTGGTAATATGTCCAACTGTGGCATAAAAACTGGACACCACCAGTTTAAACCAACATGACAGGTAATACTGAAAGGAACCCAAAGTGCCCACACACATCATTACAACTGACAGGCAATTTATCATCTTGTTTCTTACCTGTCTGTATGGCTTGAAGGTGTGGGCCCTATCATGCTAAACATCATTTTTCATTGGAAACTTCTGTTAACCACAACAATTTTCCACTGGTTTTGAGAAACCAAATGTCTCAAAACAGAAATATATGGCCACACTGATTCACTTCCTTGAGGAAGCTGATTTTCCCTGTTCTTCTCTGCAGCTGTGGTGCCTTGGCCAAGCCCTGACACTCTCCTTCCCCATTAGATTTTTCCTTCCCTGTTAGATTTTTCCTGCATGGAAGAAGAGGAACCTCCCAATGCACATTCTTTGCCATCTACGCTGGCACAACATGACCATCTTAAGTGTCCAACTGCCATCATGCCAAAAGGCTTTTGCAGATGTTAGCAGGCCGTATAAGCCCCAAAACACTTCACGAAATCTGGCCCCTTGCAAGGGCATGGGTTTGCTCTTCTGGGTTCAGGTCAGACTATTAACATCACCTTCTTCTAATGTTTTTTCAGCATAATATATCAAAACGCTGTGAAGTAACTGATAAGCAGGATAACTTTTCATGGGTACTTTAACAGCAAGAAGTCAGCTAAGAGTAAAGACAGCAGTATTTCCAGAGGCAATTAAAAGGTCGCTACTTACTGGCACAGAAGCTGCATTCCCTGGCCCATAGTTGCTAGGAATATGTCGGAATCCTCTCTGAAGTGATATCCCTGGAGGTGATGGCGCTCCCCTACAGCTTGACTGATTGATGGCAAATCCCATGGGAAATGGGTGGTAAGGATATACCCCAGAGTACCCAGGGTACACTTTCGGAGGTTCTCTCTCCAGGTATTCTGGGTTGACCATGTATTCTGGAGGAAAAGCAGGGTGAGCTAGGGAACAATGAGAAAAGAACAAATATAAGAATCCATGTAATTCTATGGAGTTCAGTAGAATTAGCTGCAGGACAAAATTCCACTTTCAGGCAGGAGACTCTGGCCCTTTGGTTTCATGTTAATCTCCTTATGAATTTATTTTGTGATTTTTTAAGGAACTAAGGAAAGGTGCAGCAGACAATACCATAACGCAGAATGATCTGCGTTCTTTTCTGCCTTGTGCATTGTGAAGCTAGTCCTTAGTAAAGCACTGGCTGCAGAGTCTTATTCTTTCAGTTCATCAGCAACAGCAAAACAACCTACCTTAAGACTTTTAACTCTAGCAGAGCTTAAAACAAAAGTCTACAGAAATTGAGTTCTAACTTTAGTCCTATTGGTCACTTCTCAAGTTAATTTACGGATAAAGGCTCTATTTTAGGGACATACACAGGCAATTTCAGATGCAGGAGTCAGTTACTTCCTTTGGTTTTTATCTTGCATCTGGAATCTCATATGGCCTCTCTGAAGTCTTAAAAAAAGAGAGTGGTAATTTAGATACAAATAGGGTCTGTCTTGTCTGCACATCCTCCTGTTGGTAGAGAAGTGGAAGAATTAGATTCCAGAGTAGGTCGACTTCTGGAGTACTAGAATTTTACTATTCATCCCTAACCTTTTTATTTTAAATCGGTCAGCAGGTTAAAAATGTTATTAAGGGAAGGACTGACAGGCACATGTATATCTAGCACCATCCACAAACATAATTTTCTAAGGAAATAAATCTAAAAAAAAAAGGAGAACAGTTATTGACAGATTAAGTGGGAACTAGAGATGTCCAAAATGACTCTTTCCTCTGGGCTTCTCAGAAGAGCATTTTGTCTCACAGGCTGCCAACTCTCCAGAGGCTCAGACTAATGACTACTGCAGTCAGTAGGGATTTCCATAAAATTACTATAGTAAATAGTAAGAGTATGAAGTTACTGTAATAAATAGTAATAAACTAGGCAAGTCACATGAAAAACTCTATTAAAGGAAGCAATTTAAGAGGTTACAGACCATACAACTGTTCCACCTGCAAAATCTATGCTGTTCTCTTAAATACCAAATGCACTTTTACACCAAGCGATCCCAGCCAAGTTCAGTCTTTGCTAGAGGAATTAAGGCCAAAAGGTCTCTCTCTTTTACAGTGCTATCATAAAATGCTTGCTTCAGGCAACTGCAGCAGTAACTTCCCCACTCACCTGCCATCGCTGAGTTTTTTAGCATTTCTGTTGCTGTGAATTTACAAACAGTGAGCCAGCACTCAGAGAAACACGCAGGAGCACCTGCAGTGCACCCTGGATCACAGCTTGGTTCCCCCCCCCGGAGAAAAGCCACTTGCTTAAGCTTCAACTTTGCAGTGAGGGGCGAGGCGGAGCACGTTGCTCCTGCCACTGCAGAGCTGCTCTGCAGACCCTGCAAAAGGGACAATAAATGCACGCTTGCACGTTAAACATGAACATTGGGTACCTGTGTCCATTGAGGAAGGAAAG